TGAGAGAAAAGTTTTGTGATCTGATTGACCAAAGCAGCAAAAGACAAGGTTATCTAACTTCAACTTACAATGTCCTATTTTCCTTCCATCCAAGTGGTTGCCACTCCAGAGAACTAAAGAGACAGAAACATAAAAGAAGGAAGTGGCCTGTTTTGATGAGTGCTCTTTGAAATAATTTCAACCATATAATCCCATCAGCCACCTCAAAGCAGCACAACAGAGTCACACAAACACACACGCACACACACACACACACACACACACACACACACACACACAAATGAGTTGAGTGTTGATGGTTCAGAGTGAAAAACAAGAAAACACAGAATGGCAGTCGAGCCGATGTCACGCTTCATTTAGCGATATGTTGCTTCCACCGTTCGCCGTCACTACAGCGTCTGTGCTCGGGATGATTTGATAGACGGTACCGTGGGGACAACTTCAGTTCAGCCTGACTCATCAGGGGTTCATATGACATTTGGAGAAAATTTGCTGTTTTTAGCCCAAACTGAGAGTTTAAAAAAGTGTATCGCTCCTGGTATTAATCACGCGCTTGCAGAAGCTGACAGCTCCACACTTTATCTCAAAACAACAACAAATGCTTCACTTCACAAGGTTTGATGACTTCGTTCAACCAAACACAGGAACGATTCACATGTTCCGACCAAAACACTGACTATAAATAATCATTACGGCCACAGATTTTTTTAAAGACGCATTCACAACGGTCAGGAGTTCTTTTCCTTCACAAACATAAATTAAGTGTCTCGCTAATATTTCACATCAAACCATAAAGCTTGAGTTTGGCTGCCCACCCAGCATTCTTGATTAACAACCGCCACATGCTGAGCCAGCTGGAAATGCTGCACCACATTTAGGGGGGCTGAGTGAAAGTGGGATCAAGCCCCGAGCACTGCGGCAAGCCTTGGCATGGCACCCCCACTCATGCCATTTCATTCCACCCCTCCTCGCTCTCGTCAAACGCTCTCGTGTAATAAAAATCTCTACTGTACATAAAACGTCTTTGACTCGATGACCTCTCACAGCAAGTGTCTGTTCAGGATCTCGAGCACTCTTTTTGATCCTGCCGTACACGTATATAGAGATGATAACATGTGATCAGAGTGGTCATGTGATCTCCATGTGAAAATGTCAACAGATACACAAAGCGCCATGGCAACCAGTTCAGAAGACCACATGCGATTGGTAAATTGTATAGGTCCCTCCCTCCCTTCTGGATCTGTGTCTCTCTGCTATGCCAGGGCATTATGGGATGTCTGACCTTAATACACTATTTAAATCTCTCCTTTTTGTTGCCCTGACCGACTTTGTTTTGATGACAGACTTAGCAACATGAGCACTTCAAAACAGTGTATTTATGCTTCAGACATGCAGAAAAAAATCCAAGGAGCATTCAACCATGCCCGATTTGTGGGTTTTCACAGACACAAGCCCCTGCTGAACAAGGTTTCTGTCTTGTTCTATAATAATAGATATCTTTCATGAAGGCGCCCCATGAGGGAGTTCAAGCCGAATGCCAAGCTGTCATGAAGATCATCAGGGATGATCATGATCAGCTGTCACGCTTCATCTCACTGATGTCTTCACCGGCAGCCTGCTCAGTGTAGGTTAAAGTTGCTTGAGATGTCAATCAAAGATTAAACCAGGGACGATGAATGTGTGTGAACTCACCAGGACTCTTCCCGTCAGCGTCTGAGCTGATATCATGACTCCGGCCCAGTCTTTGACCGAGGTCATCCAGCCCACCTCACTGGCTGCCACGTCGTCCTTGTCGGTGCGTTTGATGCCATCGCCCGTGGTGAGCCGATGGACCTCCTGAAAGATGCAGAAAGTTTTAGTAAAACAACGTTTTTGACCTGTGAACAGTAAACGATACATTCAAGATTCACATTCAAGTAAAACACACTGGGAAAGACATGTTTTGCAGTTGCATTATTAACAATCAGAATTTGTCACAACACTCAGTCAGTGTCGTAGTTCCTCCAGATCTTAGTCCAGCTATCTGCTGTACAATATCTGGGCGGGGGGGAGCCAAGTGTAGCTATATGGTAGTTTTAGTGATAAAGTCAAACTCTGGTGTTGATGTCCAAAACTGCAGGATCAAACCAAAACAAAAAGGTGACCATAACGTTATTGTTCTGAAAGTGTAATCTGATGTTGTAAAGTCATAATCAACATTTTTCTAATCACTGAGCTGTAAACACTACATTGAAGAATAACGTCATGGCCAACATGACATGGAGCAACATTATCTTTCATTATCTCACTTTTTGGCCAACGGATTAATGGAAGTCCAATATTCACGCACCAATTAGTTCTTCCTGCTAAATGCTCAACATGTTTATCAGCTAATTGGTTTGTTCTTGGGTACTGGGAAAGGAGTTTTCACAGCTTTTGAAAGATGTTGAAACGCTGAGGGGAACTGGCGTGTGATAGTGGGTTTGTCTCTACAAGCAGCCCTTCTCACTTATCTTTAATAAGAGAAAAAGTATTGATTGGTAAACATAAAGGAGAACCACCCGCAGAAAGCTGGAGTTTTTATATACAAATGTCACTTTGGTTCTGGGATTGACAGCTGTGCAAAAATACATCTTCACTTCAAGAGCTCAAACGCTTCCTTCTTAATATAGTGACCAGGCTCAAGGCTTTCAAAATAAACCCACGCACATGCAAACAGTAAACATACAGAGTGAGAGAGGCAGAGACTCCAGGACTGTATCCATGGCAGCCACTGAGCTCCTGGTGTTTCTGCTCCACTGAATGAGTGGGCTGCCTGTCTGTCTGCCTGTCTGTCTATCTGCCTGCCTGTCTGTCTGCCTGTCTCTCTGCCTGTCTGTCTGCCTGTCTGTCTGCCTGTCTCTCTGCCTGTCTCTCTGCCTGTCTGTCTGCCTGTCTGTCGGCCTGTCTCTCTGCCTGTCTCTCTGCCTGTCTGTCTGCCTGTCTGTCTGCCTGTCTCTCTGCCTGTCTCTCTGCCTGTCTGTCTGCCTGTCTGTCTGCCTGTCTGTCTCTCTGCCTGTCTCTCTGCCTGAAATCATGACAGGATGCAGAGGTTAGCCATGTTCCCTGATATGAAAGGCCTCTGCCTCCAGGCTAACACGACTTGGACTCTTTACCCTGTGACATCCTACTCCCCCTCTACCTTAATGGCGTCAAACATCCCTCTCTCTGAAGCCTCTCTCCCTCCGCTCTTCTCTTCTTGCAGAATTAGTTGATGCAGTGTGTGCATAGCTCCAGGGGGAAAAAAATAACCTCTCACTGTTTACACTGGTTCCTTTTGTTCTGGTGCTTATGAACACGGTTCTGACACATGCCACATTCTCCAGGTGCAGGATGGACTGTATGGTGTGCCCACATGATCGGACTGCCAGCTTCAAAGAACTCCTGGTATGTAACTATGCAACATGTGCTGTGATTCCACTCTACCATAAATCTTCAAGGGTGTGGCACTTCTGAATGAATGACTGAATGAATGCGGTAATACGTGCACAATGACCGACTACCGAGTGGTGATGAGATAAGAGCATCTGTTTGTCAGCAATCCTTCTAATGGAGAACAAATGTGGGGAATTTAAAGGAGAAGCCTGGTAATATTCTTATAAAAATATATAAACAGTAATGTTATAATCTGTTTCAACACTGAACACCTTCCCTGCCTTTCAGGATTGCACCACTATAAAAACAGACCATAATTACAGTATATGTCGCTTTATTATGTATAAAAATATTCTTAACCAGCATCTATTTAGTTGCATATGTTACTCAAAAGTATATGTGCTATTTTCAGTGTACAAGTAGGTATTTAAGGCATAAGGCAAATAAACAGTGTCCATGTTCAATGAAAGCAAACATGCAGGACAGTGCAGAGGCCTTGCAATTGTGTGTATATAGGCAAAGCCTGATAACTTAAATAGCTTTTTGACAACGGCTGATGAATATGACAGAGAGGAAGATGTTTCTGTATATCAGGCTTTGATTTTCTTGTCGAGCTTACTAGAAGTAATAGTTGCCAGATTTATTCTTAAAACTATAAAGAACATGGGTCCTGCATTCAAATCTGTTGGCACAAAGCATCAAAGAGGAAACCTGGCAAGCGGAGAAAATGTAATTGACTGACAAGCTAAAATGAATGTATATATTTCCTGAAGTGTTGAAGATAACACTACCATTGTCTACGGACAATACGACAATACATTCATTCAAATCATCGAGGATTTTGTTGCGCTCTAGACATGTTTTTCAATTAAAAGAAACCATTTTTGCATTCAAAAACT